CCGTCTCTCGCTCAGGAACTGCTATATAAATCCATCTCTCGCTCAGGAACTACGATATAAATCCGTCTCTCGCTCAGGAACTGCGATATAAATCCGTCTCTCGCTCAGGAACTGCTATATAAATCCATCTCTCGCTCAGGAACTACGATATAAATCCATCTCTCGCTCAGGAACTGCGATATAAATCCGTCTCTCGCTCAGGAACTGCGATATAAATCCGTCTCTCGCTCAGGAACTGCGATATAAATCCGTCTCTCGCTCAGGAACTACGATATAAATCCGTCTCTCGCTCAGGAACTGCGATAACATGGTCCAGATGGTCCCACGGACGCTGGCCCAACAAACTGATGCTCTTACTGACATTTGTTGACGTAACAGTGTTGGCAGTTTAAAGTTGACCAGGTAGATTGCTGACGAAATCAATGGATTGCTACTCCAGTACAGAGCAGCTTAACACCGTAGTTGACCCAGATTATTGTTAATGAATGTCTGTCATGAGTGAGCACTAGTGTTTTGTTGACCAGACCACACACTAGAAGGTGAAGGGACGACGACGTTTCGGTCCGTCCTGGACCATTCTCAAGTCGATTGTGAGAATGGTCCAGGACGGACCGTAACGTCGTCCTCGTCCCTTCACCTTCTAGTGTGTGATCTGGTCAACATACATCAGCCACGTTATTGTGACACATCGCCTGCACACTGAGCACCAGTGTACTCACCTATTTGTACTCACCTATTTGTGCTTGCGGGGGTTGAGCTTTGGCTCTTTGGTCCCGCCTCTCAAATGTCAATCAACTGGTGTACAGATTCCTGAGCCTACTGGGCTCTATCATATCTACATTTAAAACTGTGTATGGAGTCAGCCTCCACCACATCACTGCCTAATGCATTCCATCCGTTAACTACTCTGACACTGAAAAAGTTCCTTCTAACGTCTCTGTGGCTCATGTGGGTACTCAGTTTCCACCTGTGTCCCCTTGTTCGCGTCCCATGTGTGTTCTGTGTGTTCTGCTAGTGTGTTCTGCTAGTTATGAGAGTGTGTCTAGGGAGGCAGGAGCCCGACACACTTGTCTTCACCTTCTAGTGTGTGGTCTGGTCAACATACATCAGCCACGTTATTGTGACTCATCGCCTGCACACTGAGCACCAGTGTGTTCTGCTAGTTATGAGAGTGTGTCTAGGGAGGCAGGAGCCCGACACACTTGTCTTCACCTTCTAGTGTGTGGTCTGGTCAACATACATCAGCCACGTTATTGTGACACATCGCCTGCACACTGAGCACCAGTGTGTTCTGCTAGTTATGAGAGTGTGTCTAGGGAGGCAGGAGCCCGACACACTTGTCTTCACCTTCTAGTGTGTGGTCTGGTCAACATACATCAGCCACGTTATTGTGACACATCGCCTGCACACTGAGCACCAGTGTGTTCTGCTAGTTATGAGAGTGTGTCTAGGGAAGCAGGAGCCCAACACACTTGTAGTCTAAGTGTAAGAACACACTCAAAATACCTTAATGGACGCCTGAAGTGACTTTATGAAGGAAACATGGCCACAGTTTGTGGTCTACTAGACATTTGTAACCCTCAGACTCAACCACTTAAGAAATTGATAGAGAACTTACCATAATTTATTCATGTTTTATTCAAAGCAAGTTGTTATTGTGGTTGGTATTCGGGAGAGATGGGGGGGGGGTGAATTTAAGTGGAGGTTTGGGTTGTTTTGATGTGAGTTGTGTGGTGGTAGTTGTGGTAGTTGTGGTAGTTGTGGTAGTGGTGGTAGTTGTGGTAGTTGTGGTAGTGGTGGTAGTTGTGGTAGTTGTGGTAGTGGTGGTAGTTGTGGTAGTTGTGGTAGTGGTGGTAGTTGTGGTAGTTGTGGTAGTGGTGGTAGTGGTGGTAGTTGTGGTAGTTGTGGTAGTTGTGGTAGTTGTGGTAGTTGTGGTAGTTGTGGTAGTGGTGGTAGTTGTGGTAGTTGTGGTAGTGGTGGTAGTTGTGGTAGTTGTGGTAGTTGTGGTAGTTGTGGTAGTGGTGGTAGTTGTGGTAGTTGTGGCTGTTAGACTGATATGATCTCGTCAGATGACGTTAATGTGCTCGTATATTAAAGCTTGCCCGAGTATAGCCATATCCCCCGCCAGCTGGTCCTAACACCCGCCAGCTGGTCCTAACACCCGCCAGCTGGTCCTAACTTCCGCCAGCTGGTCCTAACACCCGCCAGCTGGTCCTAACTTCCGCCAGCTGGTCCTAACACCCGCCAGCTGGTCCTAACACCCGCCAGCTGGTCCTCACACCCGCTAGCTGGTCCTAACACCCGCCAGCTGGTCCTAACACCCGCCAGCTGGTCCTAACACCCGCCAGCTGGTCCTAACACCCGCCAGCTGGTCCTAACACCCGCCAGCTGGTCCTCACACCCGCCAGCTGGTCCTAACACCCGCAGCTGGTCTTAACACCCGCCAGCTGGTCCTAACACCCGCCAGCTGGTCCTAACTTCCGCCAGCTGGTCCTAACACCCGCCAGCTGGTCCTAACACCCGCAGCTGGTCCTAACACCCGCAGCTGGTCCTAACACCCGCCAACTGGTCCTCACACCCGCCAGCTGGTCCTAACTTCCGCCAGCTGGTCCTAACACCCGCCAGCTGGTCCTAACTTCCGCCAGCTGGTCCTAACACCCGCAGCTGGTCCTAACACCCGCCAGCTGGTCCTAACACCCGCCAGCTGGTCCTAACACCCGCCAGCTGGTCCTAACACCCGGCAGCTGGTCCTAACTTCCGCCAGCTGGTCCTAACACCCGCCAGCTGGTCCTAACTTCCGCCAGCTGGTCCTAACACCCGCCAGCTGGTCCTAACTTCCGCCAGCTGGTTTTAACACCCGCCAGCTGGTCCTAACTTCCGCCAGCTGGTCCTAACACCCGCCAGCTGGTCCTAACTTCCGCCAGCTGGTCCTAACACCCGCCAGCTGGTCCTAACACCCGCCAGCTGGTCCTAACACCCGCCAGCTGGTCCTAACACCCGCAGCTGGTCTTAACACCCGCCAGCTGGTCCTAACACCCGCAGCTGGTCCTAACACCCGCCAGCTGGTCCTAACACCCGCAGCTGGTCCTAACACCCGCAGCTGGTCCTAACACCCGCCAGCTGGTCCTAACACCCGCCAGCTGGTCCTAACACCCGCAGCTGGTCCTAACACCCGCAGCTGGTTGACGTATATCCTGGCACATGTCTGACTCGTCCGTGAGTGTGAGAGTGTGAGTGTGAGAGTGTGAGTGTGAGAGTGTGAGAGTGTGAGTGTGTGAGTGTGAGAGTGTGAGAGTAAGTGTGAGAGAGAGTGTGAGTGTGAGAGTGTGAGTGTGAGAGTGTGAGAGTGTGAGAGTGAGAGTGTGAGTGTGAGTGTGAGAGTGTGAGTGTGAGTGAGAGTGTGAGTGTGAGAGTGTGAGTGTGTGAGTGTGAGTGTGTGAGTGTGAGTGTGAGAGTGTGAGTGTGAGAGTGTGAGAGTGTGAGTGTGTGAGTGTGAGAGTGTGAGTGTGAGAGTGTGAGTGGCTGTGATGCCAGGCCCATGAAGGGTTTTGTCTCGTTAATACTCGTGGTGTATGTGCTCCCATGAGGCCAACTTGCACCCCCCCCCCTCATCCCTTGGAGACTGTGCTCATGAGAAACATATGAGGAGAGCTACTTGAGGTGAAGGTACATATGTATAAGCGTGCGCACACGAACACTACCCCATATATATATATATATATATATATATATATATATATATATATATATATATATATATATATATATATATATATATATATATATATATATATATATATATATATATATATGTATATATATATATATATATATATATATATATATATATATATATATATCCCCTTACCATACGTAACATATGGTACCTATGGTGAGGTGAGGAAAGTTGAAAAGCTCAGAGAGAGAGAGAGAGAGAGAGAGAGAGGAGAGAGGAGAGAGAGAGAGAGAGAGAGAGAGGGGGGGGGGGTGGGAGGCAATATTTAGTATATATAGTATATAAATATATTTAGTTTTAAATATATTTAGTATATAAACTTAATGCAGAGATCCTCGGGATGCCAGAAACAGTGCGTTAACGCAAGAATAAGTGGGTTTAATCCTGGTCCGGCTTCAGTAGAAGCCTCAGGAAACCCTTGTGTGTGTAGTAGAACTCCAGGTTATAGACCTTATCATGTCGTGGTCCAGTCGTCTAGAGCGTGTGTGCCTGCGAACACCCACCACATGCGTTCGAGCCCTTATCACGGCCCCTACGGATTTTCCCATTGATACAGTCACGTTAGTGTGATTACTCTGGTTGATACCTGGTTGATGGGGCTCTGGGAGTTCTCCCCAAGCCCGGCCCGAGGCCAGGCTGGACTTGTGAGAGTTTGGTCCACCAGGCTGTTGCTTGGAGCGGCCCGCAGGCCCACATACCCACCACAGCCCGGTTGGTCCGGCACTCCTTACTCTGTGTAATAATGGGTTTAAACAGTAAATTTGACAGAAAACAGGACGGTTCCCAGAGCTCTCAGACCGACACCTACCTTTATATACGGTGTTGGTCATCTATATCTGTGTAATTTAATATAATCTTTTAAATTCTGAAGAAATTGTCTTCATTTATATTAATGGTTTTCTCGGTAAAATCAGTAGGAACCATGAGGAGGATACGAACCTATGTGCTGGGTACTCCCAGGGAGACCTCTTAGACCACTACACCACGATATAGTCAGAGCAATGTAACGGAGGTTCGAATCCTTATCACGGCTCCTACTGATTTTCTCTTCAGAGGACAAGTAACCAAGTTTTTAAGTCAAAGAAAATCACATCACATTAATGTGATTTTCTTTGTGCAGTGTTGTTTGTTGTCAATTGTTGTATAACTTATATATCTGCTTCTTGACCCGTTTATCATGTTTTAAAAGTTATTACAGCGAGTTATTATGAGTTATTATGAGCTGCGATGTCCCATGAGTCATGGAACTGTGTCTCCACTACAGGTGTCCGGTGCCCGTTGATTCGCTGAGTCGGGTACTGGCGCGTGTCCTGATTGGTCGAGAGGTTAAGGAGCCCCAGGGCCAGTCAGCCAATCGACTTGGGGAACTCATCATCCTCTGCTACAATGACATCTTCCAGAATACCGAAGAGATTGTTGATGATGCAGATGATCTTAGGTGAGGAGTTTGGTACTGTTTGTGCACTCAGTCCTGCTTGCTAAACCTGTTTCACACCTTCGTAAATACTGGTTTAGAAATACGGTGGTAGAGTTATGGAACAAATTCCCGGGTAAAATAGACGTGGTTGATGAGTAGCATAGCGTAAGGGGAGGTGACCGTAAGGTTAGCAAACACCAACATTAGTTTAGGAAAAATTATCTTAATATGTGAAAATAACAACAGGAAACTGCAATAACATGATTGATAATTGCCGTAATATAAGCAGATATGAACGCTACATAAAGAACAATTACCGTAATCTAAGTAAAAGGAAGAATAAGTTAGAAAATAACCATAACATTGGGAGAATGACCGAAATCTAAGCGGAAGTGGCTGTAACATAAAGGATTAAGACCATAGACCCAATGACGGTTATGGGAACATTTGAGCGTTGGAATGTGATCTTATTATCTCCTCCACAAAATCCTAATCTTTTATCCCATTAGCGGACAAATATCCTAGTTTTCTAGGTTATTTCTAAGTCAACACTCAAAACATTGAAACCTGTTGGCATCCCAAATACCTCAAGAGTAAGTATTAATAGTGCAGGCGATGAGTCACAATAACGTGGCTGAAGTATGTTGACCAGACCACACACTAGAAATTGAAGGGACGACGACGTTTCGGTCCGTCCTGGACCATTCTCAAGTCGATTGTGATGAGGAGGTAGGGACAGGCAATAAATAGGCAAGAGAGAGCTGAGGAGGAAAGTCAGGTGTAGGGGATAGTAGTAATGAGAATTTATATTAATAGTGACAATTTAAAAGACTTTCATCATAGGCTAAACCAAGAAAGGACCCGAGCCCCCTGAAAACACTTGCTGGAAGGAATATTGGTCTCAAAGTTAATGTTAGACTAGTATATGTGGAGTGTGTCTGATCCTTAGTTCATTACCATGTACACACAGAAATCACAGTAGCGTGATGCATCAAATGAACTAATCCACAAGGGCCGTGACCAGGCCCTTAGGTTCGAATCCTCGTCACGGCCCTTGTGAATTGGTTCATTACCATGTCTTTCATTACATTACCTCCCCCACCACTACTTTGAACAAACTATAATTATTACAAAATTAAACTTTGAGGTGGTTCTTGTTGCTCCAAGATGCACTGGAATCATTGGGGTGTGGAGTTTTCATTTGCATATATGCTTGGGGACCATTCAAGCTTGTTCGCATTTCTGTTGCTCACATGGCCCCACTAAAATTAATTGATTTGATGAAATAGCTCTGCCCAAGATTACCATCAAAGTGCCGCCGGTGGGGGGGGGGGTCAAATAGCTTCGGCTATAAAGCCTTATGTGCAGTCACTGATGGTCGAGTGGATTAAGGCACCATGACACCAGTTGCAATGTGCTCCTGGAGGTCCGGGTTCGAGTCACTTCTGGGGTGTGGAGTTTTCATTTATATATATATATATATATATATATATATATATATATATATATATATATATATATATATATATATATATATTTAATATTCCGCGCAACAGCTGTACCTAATTAGTGTGACATTCTCCGGTACAAAAGGTGTACCAGAGAGTGTGAGAGTAATTGTGAGGCTGAGCTGCGTTACCTGGTACAAGTGGCCAACTTGTCAATCCTCAGCTCTCCAGACGTCAACTCTGCGAGTGAGACAAGGGTCATGGTCTCACTCTCTACATTATTGAATGTCTTGTCATTAGTGCCCTGAGACCTGCCGATATTAGGTCCGTGGAGCTGTGCAATGACTTGATTCACTCTGGTGTTGTTGAGAATATCCTGGTAATACACGCAGAGTGTGCTAGTGCTGGTCCTGGGGCCATCCAGGGGCGAGATTCACGAAGCAGTTATGCAAGCACTTACGAACCTGTACATCTTTTCTCAATCTTTGGCGGCTTTGTTTACAATTATTAAACAGTTAATGAGCCCCGAAGCACCAGGAGGCTGTTTATAACAATAACAACAGTTGATTGGCAAGTTTTCATGCTTGTAAACTGTTTAATAAGCGTAACCAAAGCCGTCAAAGATTGCGAAAAGTTATAGACGTTCGTAAGTACTTGCGTCACTGCTTCGTGAATGTGGCCCTAGCTGGTCTGTAAGAGAGGTGTTCTCTTGGTCTCTTGGGGTTAATGCCACCTGATAGTAACCCCTAAGTGGGGTCAACCTGTCTTAACTCATCGCCTGCCTCTGTCTAACAAACCCTCCTGCCACATGGACACTTAACACAAATAACCGTTATGTAAGGGAAAATTAAAGTGATAGAAAACGAACACTTTTATGTCAAAAAATTGTTGGCAAATTACCATGTTGAGAATGCATTAATTTTCTACATTATACTGTTATAATTTGATTGACTTAAAATAAATAGTATTGTAATAAAATAGTTTGTTTAAGGTCCAGTGCAACACATTGGAGATGGTAATGTTCAGGCATGCGTGAGATACGCAAGAGAACTGGGGCATGCGTGAGGCATGTGTGAGATACGCAAGAGAACTGGGGCATGCGTGAGGCATGCGTGAGATACGCAAGAGAACTGGGGCATTTTAAGGCATGTGTGAGATACGCAAGAGAACTGGGGCATGTGTGAGATACGCAAGAGAACTGGGGCATTTGAGATACGCAGAGAATGGGGCATGTGAGATACGCAAGAGAACTGGGGCATTTTAAGGCATGCGTGAGATACGCAAGAGAACTGGGGCATTTTAAGGCATGCGTGAGATACGCAAGAGAACTGGGGCATTTTAAGGCATGCGTGAGATACGCAAGAGAACTGGGGCATTTGAAGGCATGCGAACTGAGATATGCAAGAGAACGCAAGAGAACTGGGGCATGTGTGAGATACGCAAGAGAACTGGGGCATGTGTGAGATACGCAAGAGAACTGGGGCATGTGTGAGATACGCAAGAGAAATGGGGCATTTTAAGGCATGCGTGAGATACGCAAGAGAACTGGGGCATTTTAAGGCATGCGTGAGATACGCAAGAGAACTGGGGCATTTTAAGGCATGCGTGAGATACGCAAGAGAACTGGGGCATTTTAAGGCATGCGTGAGATACGCAAGAGAAATGGGGCATTTTAAGGCATGCGTGAGATACGCAAGAGAAATGGGGCATTTTAAGGCATGCGTGAGATACGCAAGAGAAATGGGGCATTTTAAGGCATGCGTGAGATATGCAAGAGAAATGGGGCATTTTAAGGCATGCGTGAGATATGCAAGAGAAATGGGGCATTTTAAGGCATGCGTGAGATATGCAAGAGAAATGGGGCATTTTAAGGCATGCGTGACATACGCAAGAGAAATGGGGCATTTTAAGGCATGCGTGACATACGCAAGAGAAATGGGGCATTTTAAGGCATGCGTGACACACGCAAGAGAAATGGGGCATTTTAAGGCATGCGTGAGATACGCAAGAGAAATGGGGCATTTCAATGTTCGTTGTTTATTAGTCAACTTTCAAGAAGAATGTTTTGTATCACCTTGTCAAGATTCGCGGCTCTGGCACCTGAGGGCGATGATGCGTGGAAGACTTTGATGGACGTTCATTCTTTAGTATTACTTATATATATATATATATATGACAAGTTGTGAGGGCACCACCTCTGGTGCAATTGTAAGGACCCATAGCCTCGGAGAAGAAAATAAAGAGTATTCATAGAAGACCTTGTGGATTTTCACTGAACACTTTAATAGTTTCTTCTCCTACCACCTACGACTTTAACTTTTCTTGTTCTTTATATATGTATATATAATAGTTGAGATCCGTTTGTGAACATTGGTGTATGAGGAGTCCGACAAGACACTTGCAGGATAGGAAGACAGGTAGGAAGGGGAGGGCTGGGTGTGACCTCCACAACAATTGGACATATATCCCTGGAAACACAAACCGAAACTGTCTCTATTTTCCGCTTGTTACAACTTGTAATAAAGGTGTTACATCTTGGCTTAACGTGTTTATGACGTATTAGAACGTTATTACAACTTGCTATATTGGTTGTTATAACTGGTTGGGAGGTGTTAAAACTTGTTCGAACGTTGTACCAACGTCGTAGTTTCGGTGTGTTTGGCGGACTATGTATACTGCAGCTTCACACGAAGACACACACCATGTTAGGAGGAGTAAGTTAGCCCCAGGGTTGTGCCCGGGGGTAGCACACAGCTACATTTAGCAGGTATTGACGCTCGTACTAAAGAAGGAGGTGGTACGGTAATTATCAAGAGAGATCACTAAGATATTACGACTGAGGGAGAAACAGGTATATGGAGAGAGAGGCATTCAGACGCACTCACATCTTTTCACCTGTCGTAACCTTGCTTGAAGGCAGGTTATGACTGTAACTACGTGGGGAACCAGGCAGCGGGTGCTTGCATCACCACCCACAGGTTATGGCTGTAACTACGTGGGGAACCAGGCAGCGGGTGCTTGCATCACCACCCACAGGTTATGGCTGTAACTACGTGGGGAACCAGGCAGCAGGTGCTTGCATCACAACCCACAGGTTATGGCTGTAACTACGTGGGGAACCAGGCAGCAGGTGCTTGCATCACCACCCACAGGTTATGGCTGTAACTACGTGGGGAACCAGGCAGCAGGTGCTTGCATCACCACCCACAGGTTATGGCTGTAACTACGTGGGGAACCAGGCAGCAGGTGCTTGCATCACCACCCACAGGTTATGGCTGTAACTACGTGGGGAACCAGGCAGCAGGTGCTTGCATCACCACCCACAGGTTATGGCTGTAACTACGTGGGGAACCAGGCAGCAGGTGCTTGCATCACCACCCACAGGTTATGGCTGTAACTACGTGGGGAACCAGGCAGCAGGTGCTTGCATCACCACCCACTTCATTACACAACAGTCAGGTGTGTCACCTTGCCGCATGTGTACATCGAATTAGTTTTCAGGGCAAACCGCAGTTTTCTCGTTGAATAATGTAGTTGTCCTCCTGAACTGCCACTTTTCTCTCTCCTCAACGCCTTAAGTGTGTTTATCTTTCATGTTTCGTTCCGCGTGTTTACCTTCTCACTTGGTTATCTTGAGATGGTTATCTTGATATGATTTCGGGGCTTTAGGTGTCCCCGCGGCCCGGTCCTCGACCAGGCCTCCACCCCCAGGAAGCAGCCCGTGACAGCTGACTAACACCCAGGTACCTATTTTACTGCTAGGTAACAGGGGCATAGGGTGAAAGAAACTCTGCCCATTGTTTCTCGTCGGCGCCCGGTATCGAACCCGGGACCACAGGATCACAAGTCCAGTGTGCTGTCCGCTCGGCCGACCGCCCCCCCCCCCCCCCCTCCTGTCTAACTGTATACCGTAATGTATTTTGTAGAGTAATGTAAGTGTATAATACAGACATTTATGACTGAAATATAGAGTGCTGTAGCTATTTGAAACACTTCATGTATCTGATGATAACTGATGGCGCCTCTCTTGCACCGTGTTCCAGCGACAGTGTCAGCAGCCCCGGCAGCGTCGGCGACTCCAGGGAAGATGGCCTCGATGATGTCGACGACGACGACGAGGCCGACACGACCACCTCCGACACCGACGACTTCCGCTCGCCGCCAGTGTCGCCTCTCAAGATGGATAATCCGCGGGGGTCTCCAGGGCCCTCGTCCCCGCCCCCTCACCAGCCCTCAGTCTCCGCAAGGTAGGTTCTCAAGCACTCTACTTGTGGCTGGGGGGCTGCGCTCTCCTGGTGTGGGGCTGTCCTCTCCTGGTGTAGGCTGCCCTCTCCTGGTGTGGGGCTGTCCTCTCCTGGTGTGGGGCTGTCCTCTCCTGGTGTGGGGCTGTCCTCTCCTGGTGTGGGGCTGTCCTCTCCTAGTGTAAGGCTGCGCTCTCCTGGTGTGGGGCTGTCCTCTCCTGGTGTGGGGCTGTCCTCTCCTGGTGTGGGGCTGTCCTCTCCTAGTGTAAGGCTGCGCTCTCCTGGTGTGGGGCTGTCCTCTCCTGGTGTGGGCTGCCCTCTCCTGGTGTGGGCTGCCCTCTCCTAGTGTAAGGCTGCGCTCTCCTGGTGTGGGGCTGTCCTCTCCTGGTGTGGGCTGCCCTCTCCTGGTGTGGGCTGCCCTCTCCTAGTGTAAGGCTGCGCTCTCCTGGTGTGGGGCTGTCCTCTCCTGGTGTGGGCTGTCCTCTCCTGGTGTGGGCTGCCCTCTCCTGGTGTGGGCTGCCCTCTCCTGGTGTGGGCTGCCCTCTCCTGGCGGGGGCTGTCCTCACCTGGTGGGCGCCACTTTACCCCAGTGTTCGGTGGTGTCTGCTGTTGGTGGGAAGAGAACAAGCCTTGCTTCACCTAACTAAGAGTGATGAACGCAGGATTGGTGTAACACACGAACAACAATGAGGAAGTGCAGCAGTCCGGAAGACAGTAACAGGCAGAGATCTGGGAGAGGAAGCCCACATGGCCCAGATAATCACAGGAACATAGGACTAAAGGACACTGCACAAGGCCTATATTAGCCTATATATACTATAGGCAACTTCTATTTATGTCCAATCCAATGTATTCATATATATATATATGTGTCTAACCTTCGCTGGCTCCAGTGATCTCGCATTATTGTCTTACCCGGTCCAGATTTTTTTTTTTACACCTGCACTGATTGTCTTATATCTATACTGATTGACGATGTATATAGTCATATATATATATATATATATATATATATATATATAATTCAGTATATATATATTGTTCGCATATATATATATATATATATATATATATATATATATATATATATATATATATATATATATATGTTTGTCTCGATACGAAATAGTCATTCGATGTACAACCTTATATACTTCAGACGGATAAACGAGAAAAAGGTACATTTGAATACACATGTGCGATTATGTGTATCATGTATTTAGTTCAAATACGTGTTATCATAAATACAAATATATCTTGTTATGATGAGTAAACACAGGGAGGCTGTATCCAAGGATACAAGTTATTTCGTACACAAAACGGTTCGTCTACAAATTAAACATCCGACCTAACCTAACTTAACCTAACCTAACCTAACTTAACCTAACCTAACTTAACCTAACCTAACCTAACCTAACCTAACCTAACTTAACCTAACCTAACAATATATATGGTACACGAGGACATGACAATAACGTTACATATCTACGAGAAAATCCTTGAAGCAAGTACAAGGAATCGCTCCAGTGACCTGCGGACAACACGCACGGCTGAGAGCACCCGGGACGCTGGTTCGAATCACCCCCCCGTACTGCTCTAACGATTTTCTAATATATATATATATCGCTTTAATCCAAATAAATGAAGTTTCTCATATCGTGTTGTACATCCAAGCACACAATAGTGAATTAGCTTAGAGTTACGCGACGAAGGAGAAGGGACGGGAAACTATCAGGAGAAAGCGCCAAGCCATTACGACTATATAGCCCTGGGAAGGGGTCAGGATAAGGATTTGGGATGGGACGGGGATGGGGGGGGGGAGGAGGAATGGTGCCCAACTACTTGGTGGACGGTCGGGGATTGAACGCCGACCTGCATGAAGCGAGACTGTCGCTCTACCGTCCAGCTCATGTGGGATGGAGGAAGATGGCCAAACTGGCGAAGGTTATAACGACAGTGATAACAAGACTAACAGCGTTACAACCAAGTGGCCCCCTGGTGGCCCACACTATCACACAGCTGGGCCACACTGCCACACAGCTGGGCCACACTGCCACACAGCTGGGCCACACAGCTGGGCCACACTGCCACACAGCTGGGCCACACAGCTGGGCCACACTGCCACACAGCTGGGCCACACAGCTGGGCCACACTGCCACACAGCTGGGTTTCTATAGTTACACATATTATTTTTAACTTGGCTTCACAACCTTCTTGTTAAATATATATCTTTTGTAGTGTAAGTTATTTTCGTGTTATGAATTTAACAGATAAGATTTTTACAAATCAAAATGACTTGTCAAGAAGAGTATCACAAGGACTAATATTAAGCAATAATAATAATAAGAACGACTTGGGTCAATGTATATTAATTATAACTCCCAGAGGTTGGCTGAGGAGCCGTCCTGACTCACCCTCGTAGACTGTGGCGGACTCTGAGGAACTGTTATTTTACGGGGATGGTCGTGGTGGTTGATGGGGAGGGGGGTGAGGGGGAGGGGGGGGGTGAGGGGAGGATAAGGGGAGAGGACGGGTGAGGGGAGGAGACGTGTGAAGGGAGGATAAGGGGAGAGGACGGGTGAGGGGAGGATAAGGGGAGACTAGGACGGGTGAGGGGAAGGGACAGAGGGAGTGTTGGCATCGTGTTATAGTTGGTGATCACGTGAGGAGGGGGAGGGTAGGGGGGTGAGGGGAGGCGAGGGAGAAGTAAGTGCCAAGAATGATACATTTAGAGTGTGTGTGCTGACCTGTCAGTGTCTACCTGTCATACTGTGATGTGAGCTCTAGCTCTCTATACCCCACCAGCAAGACTTCTTGTATCCAGTACGTTATGATTTAACAGTATTTTAACTGATCTCTAACCCTGTCTATGGAGGACAGAAGAAAATGTATATATGCTGGTTAGCATTGTAAATGTGTGGCCACGTCTGTGGTAGAAAATAATAATAATAATAAAAAAGAGTATTTTAACACTGATAGTCATTATCAAGTATTGCTTTAAAGCTGTGGAAGGAGGTGGCTTCCACAACTTCTTTCCGTACGTTCCGCTTATGGTCCAGCCGTATTGGCTACGAGAACTTCCTTGCATTCATTTTTTACTTATTTGCATTTCCAGCTTCCACTTCTGTTATCTCGCCCTACTTTCTCTTAACATTCAAGAGACTGTTCTTGTCCACCTTGTCAATTCCCCCTCAGTATCTTGTATGTTGCAATCACGTCTCCTCTGTTTCTTCTTTCCTCTAAGGATGTGAGGTCTAATTCCCTTAGCTTATTTTAATAGTTCAGTCCTCTTAGCTCTGAAGAGCTCAGAGGACCTTATAGCAAACCATTGTACTTTTACATTTTGGTCTTATACTTCACAAGGTGCGGATTGTAGGCCGGTGATGCATTTTCCAGTATTGGTCTTACTAACGTTGTGTAGAGTGCATGAAAAGAGCCCTGATTTAGGTTACTAAATAACGTTCTAATGTTTGCCTGCATTCCATGTGCTACCTTGTGTATGTGTCCTGGCGATAGTGATGGAATCATTACTATATCTACTGCTACATCTACTGCTTAATAGGTTTAGCTGATTATATCTTCTGTAAGATATCTACTGCTAAATTCTTTTTTTTTTTTTTAGATATATACAAGAGTTGTTACATTCTTGTACAGCCACTAGTACGCGTAGTATTTCGGGCAGGTCCCTGGAATACGATCCCCGCCGCAAAGAATCGTTGTTACAACCAAGTACCCATTTTACTGTTTAGTTAAACAGAGGCTACAGTTAAGGATTTGAATCCTCCCCGGCCAGGATACGAACCCATGACAAAGCGCTCGCGGAACGCCAAGCGAGTGTCTTACCACTACACCACGGAGACTGGTAAAGACTTTCCCTCTCCGACTCCTGTAATTGCCTTCCCCTTATGGTGTACATAACATTCTGGTCTCCTTATCCCATCTTCGTTACCTTCGTCTGGATTAAATTATGTCAATCATTTGTTTGGCAACTTGTGCAGTGTGTTAAGGTCTTCGTGTAACCTTGTGCACGTCTCGTTATCTTTGCGTCATGTGCAAATGTTGACGTGTACGAGCTCACACCTTCGGTGCGCTCATTGTCATAAATTATAAAGACTTGTGGGTCCCAGGATCGGCCCTTAGGGAACACCACCGGTTACCGCCTTCCTTGAAACCCCGTAAGGAAGGTTTCAAGGTTTCAAGGAAGGAAACCTAACCTAACCTTCCTTGAAACCCCGTAAGGAAGGTTTCAAGGTTTCAAGGAAGGAAACCTAACCTAACCTAACCTTCCTTGAAACCCCGTAAGGAAGGTTTCAAGGTTTCAAGGAAGGAAACCTAACCTAACCTAACCTTCCTTGAAACCCCGTAAGGAAGGTTTCAAGGGTTCAAGGAAGGAAACCTAACTTAACCTTCCTTGAAACCCCTTAAGGAAGGTTTCAAGGAAGCCTCCAAGTTTCCTCCAACTTGAAACCTCATCTTATATGAGGGTTTCAAGTTGGAGGAAGGAAAGCCTCTCAATTTGCTATCCTTGAGGTAGTCACTTGCCCAGTTCAGTGTCTTGGCAGTTATCCCTGCTTGCTGCTACACCTTCAACACCAGCCTATCGTGAGGAACAGTATCAAATATTGTTTGACAATTTAGGAAAATACAGTGTACACAGCCTATTTTTTTCCTGTCTTTAAGAACTTTTTTAAGGGGCCTCGTAGCCTGGTGGATAGCGCGCAGGACTCGTAATTCTGTGGCGCGGGTTCGATTCCCGCACGAGGCAGAAACAAATGGGCAAAGTTTCTTTCACCCTGAATGCCCCTGTTACCTAGCAGTAAATAGGTACCTGGGAGCTAGTCAGCTGTCACGGGCTGCTTCCTGGGGGTGGAGGCCTGGTCGAGGACCGGGCCGCGGGGACACTAAAGCCCCGAAATCATCTCAAGATAACCTCAAGATAACCTTATCAGAGATGTCGATCAAGTTTGTCCAGCACGACATTTCCTTTCTAATTCCTTGTTTCTCATTTGTTACAGGATTTTCCTCTCCA